CCCATTTTGACATTTCTTTTGTAATGCATTTCCCAAATACAGAAGTTAACAACTATGATACTTGTCGCTTGTATAAAGTGCTAGCCTAAAAAAAATAAATGTATGATATGGCATGAATTTGTGCTGAATTTCAGAGGTCATGTATGCAAATATTCACAAATTTTTTTTTCTCCTTATTTTTCTATTAACTGAACAGTTCAGCCCAAAATGGAAATTTACTTTCAATTTCACACTCAAATGGCTCTAAACTTTTATGAGTTTTTTTTAATTAGTTTTAGTTCATGTCAAAACAAGATAAACTGAAGAAAGTTGGGAAAAGGAGCCATTGACATCTATAATGGGAACAAAAAATATTGTTAGCAAGTAAATTTATTTGTTTTCCCCAACAATTTTTAGTATATCATCCTTTTCGTACAACAGAATATGATTACAGAATTTTTATTTTTATTTATTTACTTTTTTTTATAGCTTTGTCTGAGAGCCAAAGTAAAATTATAGTTTAATGCATTCTGTCCTTTTATAAATCAGATTTGACTCTTCTACTGTGCTGATCTAGTGTTGTATAGACACATAACATATAGTGTAATATTGTTGTGTTCCCAATTGCTGACCTTAAAGCATTTCCACTTTAATCACACTACCTGAGCAATCAACACCAAATGTATAGTTTATATGTCTAAATCCAACCAAAACTGCCAAATCTGAAAACATTTTAAAAGTATAACGGCAAAAGCAGGTGATTATTCCTGTCACCATCCACCATACATGAAATCTCAAACATACAGTAGTAGTTTTTGCAAGCTTTTGTATTCCAAAATGTTGTATTGCTCTTTTATTTCTGTGTAAGCATGCATTTTAAGGGGCTGTTCTCATAGAATGGGTTTCCCTTGTTTCCCAGTGTGCAGTGGTCCCTCGCAATGACATGGTTCACCTTTACTAGCCATTTTTTTCTTTTTTTGCAATTTGACATGCTTCTTTTTTTTTTTTTTTTTTTTTTTTTTTTTTTTTTTCAATGTGTTGTGTTCTGATTTTTGCATTGTGTTCTGCATCCTCCGTGCCATGTCTCCTGAACAATGCAGAATGTGGTCAGCTGACCAAATTGACAAATCTTTGATCACTAGCAGTGTGACTGAAGTGCTGTAGTGTAAGTGCAAGTTTTCTACACAACATACTCCATAATATACTGTACTACTTTTGCTTTTTTATGTAAACACGCTTGGCAGATGTGTGTGACTGTTATACTTGCATTATTAGAAGCACAGTGCACATGATCCCACTTCCTTTAGATGCTTTTTCAAAATCTTTTATTTCCACAAGCAGCGCAGCTCATCGCTGTCAGTTCCACAGCAGTGGACCAATCAGAAGAGCTCTGAGCTCGGCAAGCAATGCAGGTTTTTGTTTACAGGTGCTTATCGGCTGTATCCGGATACTCTTGTGCTTCATAAGCTGGGTTTTTTTTTTTTCAATTCCGAACTGCTGACTTACGATTGTAAAAGCAAAGCCATTTGTTGTGCATGAGCCCTAGTAAGATTTTTGTTACGTTCACATCTTGCACATGAAACCGCATTCTCAAATGTGGCACTTAAGTTTTTCAAAATTACATACGTCGTATGCAAATAGATTTTTATGTTTCTGAAATTCTGCTGCCTGAATTTAATAATAATAATAATAAAAAAATAATAATAATAAAATGAAAACAATCCTGTAGGAGCATAGGGTGTCATATGTTGTGTGAAGGCTTTGAAGTGAACAAAAGCCTGTTTAATTTGTAATGTGCAATCCTCTCTTATTGCTTGTCTACTCGCACAGATGGAAGAGTGGAAATCGAAGAATCAGATGATCAGAAACCAGTTGAGACAGCATGGCATTGCGGCGGCATCAATGGACTCCCAGTGAAGGACTGCAGATCCTCTGTATGATTCTCCAACTGTGGCTAGTCTTTAGTTCTGTTTATACAGGTTTGAAGTCACATTTATAAAGACTATTTTTAATGTGGACAAACACTCTGTTTTTCTCTTTCTTTTCCTCATGTTTGACTTCACATGCAGCCTTTGATTGTTTGTCAGGGTAATCTGCTGTTTTAACTCGCACTGAAATTGCTTGTAATTGTCAGATCTGTATATTTTTAGGACTACTTTGCAAATGTTTTGGGTATATATATTTTTATTATTAATAAAATGTTGATAAAATAATGATATACTTATGTTTATAAACTTAGCCAGAATTTCTTAAGCAATGGCTTGACAATCAACTGGAAGTAGAACACCAGTTTCAGTTCCTCTCAACAGTTAATATTAAAATTATCAAACCCATTACAGTTAATTAATTTACACAATGTTTTTACATAACATTGTTTGAACAAATCTTTATTAAACTTCATATTATTTGTATTTTAAAGAATATTTGGTTAAGCATTTTCAGTTTGATTTATTGAACTCCGCTGTCTTGGTGAACCAGCACAAGTGCACAGATTTGTGGATATTGAAATATATTACTAAATACCAAAAATATGCAAATACAAATTATTAATAAAGCAGCCCTTGTCGTGATTTTGTGTGCGTGTGTCTTTGGATAAGATTGTATGTTTAATGATAATATGTAGGTTAAATGATAAAGTTTTTGTAATATAATTTTCTATCACAATGCTTTGGAAAATAATTAGTCTTTTTTTAATATAAAAATAATCAAGAAATATGTCAGAATCAAACCCCTTTAGTACACTAAAAAATGATGTTTGCTGTTTGTTTAAATTCCCTATTTAAGATGAGCTGAAATAATATTATTTTTGTGTTTTGGGCGGGGCAACTTAATTGTTATATGTTCGATCAACTTAAATGTGTAAATAGAGGTCTGAGATTGTGATATGAATTACAAAAAAATTAGTAAAACCACTGCACGTGTGAAAAGATGATTATAGAACAAATGTTTTTATCCAGTTAATTCACCACAATTATTAGCTGTTTTGTTTTAACACTTTGCAACCATCTCTATCCTAGATTAGGGTGTCTAAACTTGGTCCTAAAGGGGCAGTGTCCTGCAGAGTTTAGCTCCAACTTCCTTTAACATACCTTCCTGGAAGTTCATAGTACACCTAGAGAGAGCTTGATTAGCTGGTTTAGGTGTATTTCAGTGGGGTTGGAACTAAAATATGCAGGACACCAGCCTTCCAGGACCGAGTTTGGACACCCCTGGCCTAGATCATAGGTCTCAAACTCGATTGACCCTTTTCACATTTCTGGGTTTCTCAGTAGCGGAAGTTGGGAAAACCTAGAGCACAATGAATGGGAAAATACAACAAATAGCTTTTTACAATCTTATTTGCTTAATTTATTTTTTGTAATAACAAGCAAAGCTGTCATAATGCATACATATGTTCATATGTTTTAAAAATGTATATATATATTAAAAACTTTCAAGTATTTAAGATGCTGATGTCTGTTAAACGTGCCGTTAAACGTGCCATAACACGTCTTGTGAGAAGGGTCCATTCCTGGAGAGCCACAGCTCTGCACAGTTTTGCTCCAACCTTAATCAAACACAGCTGATCTAACTTAACAAGGTGATCAAGATTTCTATAGACTATTAAGCAGGTGTGATTTGTAGGTGGTTGGAACTAAACTATGCAGAGCTGTGGCCCTCTAGGAATTGAGTTTTAGACCACTGGCCTAGCTAATCACCTGACTTGGAGTCTTTTCCTATAATAGTAGTCTGATCTCACAAGACAGTTTAGTGGCTAATTCGTATGAGTTTAGTCATACGACAATGTACGATTTTAAAAAGGAAGCGTGGCACCTGAACCCAACTGTCTTGAGCAAATCTATATTGTACAATGAGATCGTAAGAATTTATACGAGTTAGCCACTAAATCACAAAGTTTCGAATTGCGGTGAGATAGCGTTGAAAATATCTGATGAGGTTAGATTAAACCTGGAAAGAGATCCAGATCCTAATCCTGAACATATTATTAAACTGAGCTTGGCTAGGCCTTACATTTGTGCTCATTGTCCTATTTTTGTTTTATTTGTATTTTTATTTTGGAGTATCGTGAAAAGATCTAAACACAGCACATTAAAGAAGGCACCTGACTTAAGTCTGTACATTCTGAATCAGTGCAATCTCATAAAATATCTGTAACGAAGGCCAGCTAACGAAGGGCTGTGCAGGTGCTCTAAAGATGCTCTAGCGACAGACGCTGGAGGTCATGGTCTTTAGCCTTCTTGTTGGAGCAATCAACTCCCATACAAAGAATCGTTGGTTCAATCCCAGCTCAGCGCGGATTGGATGCAGTAGGACTGGTGGTTTACATGTGTGGGCCCGTCCGGGATGGGAGTGAAGTTTTGGTGGGTAAGTGTGTCGGAGGCCAGCTGACGAAGGGCTGTGCAAATAAACCTCACTCATCTAGCCTCTAAAGATGCTCTAGCGACAGACGCTAGAGACCATAGTCTTTAGTCTCCTTGTTAGAGCTACTGACTTCCATACAAAAAATCGCCGGTTCAGTCCCAGCTCAGCGTGGGTTGGGTTCAGTAGGACTGGTGGTTTACTTATCCACCCCCGCCAGAAATGCACCACATTTAAATAATATGGTTAGTCAGTTTTGTTTATGGGGTGGAGTGTGCTGCTAGTGCTGTCATGTTCTTTTGTTTTCCTCCCGAACAGCTGAAAATAATGGTCAAATTAGGGAAATCAATAAAAAAAAAAATAAAAAAAAAACCTTTCTGGTTCAAATCTTATTTAAAGCTAATAAAAAATTTCAGGTTCCACCAATCCAAACTTGTTTCAACAAATTGTACTCCTGATATTAAACAATATCCTTTCTTCTTTTGTTTTGGCAAAACCAGTATGAATTATAATCTGTAATTAGTTTCCTTTCTGACAGGTCTGTTCCTGTGTCTTATCTTGTGGGCTACTAACCAAGTATGCACATAAAGGCAATGTTTGGACTCCCAAGGTTCATTCTGAGAATGATTTCCAATTATTTGTCTAACCTCAAAACTGTGCTTGCTTTCCTAATGTGCAGTTGGAGCTTCTAACCAGTTTCAGATAAGTTTCTGCTTATCTTCACTCAGTTTTGTGCGGACCTAGCAAATAAACAGCTGCAACACGGTTCTGCTAAAATAATATACTTTCGGGTAACATTTGAAACGCATACCGTGGAAAACCTTCTATCATTTCAGACTGGAAATGTTGACTTTAGTCTTTGTGTGTCTCTCTTTTTCACTCACAGGTAAGAGTCCATTTCTTCAGTGGTTGTTTGTTTTTTTTCTTTGTGGATCATTTTATTTCGTTCAGACAGTTTTCTCATTTTCTTTAATTTTTTTTCTCTTGTAAATTCATGAAAAAATATTGTCTAAAGTTCATACACTGTGAAAAAAAGCCTTATTTTTGTTTAAACAAATAATACTAACTTAAGACATCAATGCAAAATTTGTGTAAATTAATTTATGTTAAAACCTGATTAACATAATTAAAAAGCTGAAGTAACATAACTCATTGTCAACTTTTTAAATCTTATTTGTAACAGTTCTGTATGGGTGTTGTTTTTTGGTATTTATAAAGGGAGCTGAAAGCATCTCTTTGCCCTTGTCATGATTTTTACTTTTAAAAAGTATTAAAATAGCTTATTTAACTTACTGAAAAGAGTAAACGTGTTTGCATGGTTTCAGGACATTTTTATTTACAACTATTAATGCAGTTGATTCATTTTTAAAAGTGATTTTTAAGAACCTGTATATGTTATTAAAGATTTAATATCTGTTTCTGTGTGCAGGCCTACATGCTTCCTTTTCAGTGGCTGTTAATGGTCCCGTAGTAAAAGTGAAGGAGAATGAGGGTAATTTGAATCAGATTATTTCCCTGTTATTCATTGTCTTTTCTGTATAGAATAGTAATTTTGTTTGTGTGGTGGTGTTAATATGAGTTTATTGAAGAGCACCTCTGTATTGATCCTCACTCAAGACTTCGTTCATGAGAAACAGTATACTCATTTAACCAAGTGTTTTATTTATTTTATGTTTATCTTGTCAGGAGTTGACTTGCAATGTTCCTACACCGCTGACTTTGGAGCAACACCCAGAGTAGAATGGAAGTTCAGAAATCTGAAGGGCTTTCAGTATTTCATCTACTTTAATAACAAACCAACTGGTATAGATAAAAACTTCCCTGATGTCTTCAAGTATATTTTTTTGTCCGTGCAGTTTCATTCCTTAATTGTGATTTTGTTGATTGGTCTCAAAATTAGAATTGAGAAAAGATGTTTTTTTGTTTATTTTTTCTCTCCTCAGTTGAATATGAACAGCGCATCACTGTGTACGCTGGAGGACTGAGATTTCAAAAAGTAACGCGAGCAGACGCTGGAGATTATAACTGTGAGGTTTCTGGAAACGGTGGATATGGAGAGAATACCATCAAACTTGTAGTCTCTGGTAAATTTGAATTATGTGTGTACATATAAATACAATAGCATTTGAAATGCATCAAAATCTTCCATCTTTTTCTTGTCCTGGGAAAACTTTGATGAACTTCAAATGTTGGCTACTCTATAAATACCAGTGTTGGGAAGTTAAGCTATAAGTAGAATAGCTATCTTAGCTACATTTTCAGTAGCCTGACAGTAGCTCACCTACTTATCATACAATGTAGCTTTTCCAGTAGCTACTTTTCCAGCAGTTTCCAATTTCCAGCAGCTCTACTTTACAGTGAAGTCTTAAAGATCACATACTACAATAGTAAATAACACATCTCATGGTCTTACGTTTATATATCACTGTTATTTTGCAAAAAATCATATTAAATTTTATAAAGTATGTTGGCAGTTGGCAGTCAATGTGAAGTTAGAATGTTGCGCAAGGGCTTCACTAAGATTTATGGAGCTATGCCACTTTTAATCAAAGGTGTTTTGTTATTGCAATGCGTCATGTGTTGCAGTTTTTTACTTTCAATCTTGACAGTAATGTAATGTAAAGCTTATTCTTTTATTGATGTCTTTGAGAAAAGAAAAAAAAATGCTTCAATGTACACTCTCAGAAATAAAAGTATAAGAGCTGTCACTGGGGCAGTACCTTTTCTAGATACATATTTGTTCTTGAAAGGTCCATAATGGTACCTCAAAGGCACTTTTTAGGTACATTTGGGCACTAAAATGCACCTTTGAGGTGCCACTGTGGACTCTTTGGGTACAAATATTTATCTTTGGAAAAGGTACTGCCCCAGTGACAGTTCCTGTACCTTTATTTCTGAGAGTGTTGCTAGTTACTTTTAGAAAATAACTTGGAATGTAGCTAGTTTGAGAGTGGCTTAGCTACTTTTGTTTTGATGAGAAGCTTGTTGCTTATTAAGCTAGAGTTTCAGAGTAGTTTCCCCAACACTGATAAAGCCTGTTACTTTGTGATAAATTTCAGTAATATAAACATCATTAGAAAGCGCAACTCTACCTAAAAGCAAAATTGTGTCTTGTTCAATTTGTCTGTATTTTTTGGTGGGTGCAAAAATATAGCTTTGAAATATTGTAGCACAAATCATCCTTATCATTACAACCCTCCATTCCATTCACTTCAGTTCCTCCTTCCAAGCCTGTATCCAGCATTCCTTCATCAGTCACAACAGGCAGTAACGTCCGCCTGACTTGCTTTGACCCAGTTGGCTCTCCTCCATCCACCTATGAGTGGTACAAAGACAACAACCTCCTCCCTGAGGACCCAACCAAGTTTCCCATTTTTAAGAACCTCACATATAAGATGAATGCTTTCAATGGAAACCTGGTATGTTCATCTAATATTATAATCTTAGATTGTTTTGAATTAAATGTCTTTTGGTACATTAGTATAATTATTTATATTTGCACATTTTTTGGCTTGTGTGATCAGGAGTTCTTGAGTGTGTCTAAGTGGGATGCTGGCTCATATTTTTGTGTGGCCAGTAATGAAAACGGTGTCTCTCAGCATGGTGATGCAGTGAAGATGGAAGTTTGTAAGTATAATGTCATTGATTTCAAATAATTACTGCCCCCACAGGCTGCACGGTGGCACAGTGGATAGCATGATCACCTCACTGGGTCGAGCCTCGGCTGGGTCAGTTGGCATTTTTGTGTGGAGTTTGCATGTTCTCCTGGCACTCGTGTAGGTTTTTTTCGGGTGCTCCGGTTTCCCCCACAGTCCAAAGACGTGGTACAGGTGAATTGGGTTGGCTAATTTGTCCGTAGTGTATAGATGTTTACCAGTGATTGGTTGCAGCTGGAAGGGAATAAAGTGTTTGTGATGACAAAAGGTTTGCTAAGATTTTAAAGATAGAAGTGTAAGGCGATTAATAATCTTCTAAAACTAATAGTTGATTGTGAACTGCAAAAAGCACCAGCAAATACCAATTTACTTTCTTTGCTGATCTACGTAGATCTGAATAATTTATTTTCATAATGCTAGGCTTTGTTTTGTTTTTTTTGTTTTTTGACAGTCTATGAACATCTAATTTGACCTGCTCTTAAACATTGCGTGTGTTGTCAACATTTACTGTTGAGGCAAAACTTGTGTAAGCAATGCTTGCTTACTTAAAAAAATTGTAATGTGTTACTTGGATTTTATTTAGGGAAAATAATGTTACATTACTTTTGTATTACATTTGAGTTGTTCTGGCTAGGCTTCTTTGGAATAATACAAAAACATTTGTAAATGCCAAGGCCATATGAATAAACCTCAGGCTGAAGCAAATGCAAATTTGAGGCTGTACATTTGAGGGCGCCCAGGAATAGGACGAAGAGTAGGATGTGTGAAAAATCTAAACATCAAAAACAAACAAGTAAAACCATGCTGAATCTAAAGCTAAGTGTGCAAATCTACATGCAATAATGCAAATTGACTGTTAATTGTAAAATTTTATTTTAATTGTGATATTTGTAATAGTTTTTCTTTAACCATGCAGGACCATTTTTTTTATCTATTTATATTGCAAATTGATTTATATACATTTCAGATAATAATAATAATAATAATTCCTTACATTTATATAGCACTTTTCTGAACACTCAAAGTGCTTTACATATTTTTTGGGGGAATCTCCTCATCTACCATCAGTGTGCAGCATCCACACACCAGCTGATAGGTGGAGAGGAGACAGTGATGAAACCAATTTGCTTGTTGATGTTTGGGAGGCCATAATGGACAGAGGCCTGTGTGCAAATTTGTCCAGGATGCTGGGGTTAAACCCCTACTCTTTATCAAAAAACATCCTGGGATTTTTAATGACCACAGGCAGGTTTATCTCAACCGAAAGATGGCGCTTACCGAGCAGTCACTTGATGTAAAATGTGTATTATGAGAATAGTTTGTAATTAGGAATCTTTAAAATGCCATAAACAGGGCACATTACGACTGTGGAAACTTTTCTGAGAACATTTGGAGTTTTTTTTTTTTTTTTTTTTATCTCAGAACTGCTTGGACAGACTTGTGAGTACAATATATGGTTGGAAAATGGCTGTACAACATCAATTCCCATCCAACCTGATAGAGCTTGAAAGGCACTGCAAAGAGGAGTAGGCAAAAATTCTCAAAGACAGTTGTGCCAAGCTTGTGGCATCATATTCAAAAAGACTTGAGACTGTAATTGCTGTCAAAAATGCGTCAACAAAGTATTGAGCAAAGGCTGTGAATTCTTATGCTTATGTGATTTTTCAGGTTTTTTATTTTTAATAAATTTGCAACTATTAATTTTTTTTCACATTATCTTTATGGGGTATTGTGTGTAAAATTTTGAAGAATAATTTTGGAATTAGGCTGTATCTTTTTTCTAAGAATACTTTCCCCAAACACTGTATATGTTTTAATTGTTTTCTATGGGATGTTTAACAGCTAAAAAAGTATTTTGACATTAAAGTTCCTATTTTTAATACTGATTTGAGTGACACTGATTAATACTGACACTTGGTGAGTGTTAAAGACAACAAATGTTTCAATAATCTAATAAAATCCTCCTGTGCATTGCTAAAATATTATGTTTGTTATATAGATGATGTAGACAGCAGTCAAGTGCTGGATGTGAAGAGCAACTTGAGCATGGAGACACACAACATTCCAGGCAAGATCACCAACAGCCACATAATGGAAAAACAGTATGGTGTGTTCATGTTGCAGGAGGTGAAGCTAAAACTAGAGATCCAGAAACTGGAATTAGAAGTGACCAAGCTAAAGCTGGAGCTGCAAAAACTTGGACATGAAGTGTAGATGATATCATTCATCATTACTGCTATAAGTCAAAGAACTTATTTCATGTGCTGATTTCAGATGTTATTGTAATTACATTTGTTTTTATACAGCTGGGGTCTGTTTTTCATACCTCACTTAAAAGATCTGTGATGATTTGACAGATATGGATTTTTTTCAGGATATCCGTGTGGTCTTAAAGTCTTAAATCTCAAAAACTCAAATTTAAGCCTTAAAATGTCTTTAATCTACTGAAACATTATGTTGTAGGTCTCTTTTTTTAACATGTCTTTTTCTTTGTTTATGTATAGCTACCCTATCTGGCTAAAACCCATACATTCACCAACAATCCTTCTCAATAAAACTTTTAACTTTTTATTTAAAAATAACATTTTTTTGTTTATTTGCTATAATGGTTTTATTATTTTCCTAACTAGTATTTTTATTATTAAATTATTATTATGTATGCATTATGTATTATTAGATGTATGCAATTGTTAGAATTTTGATTTGATAGGGCAAATGAAAATCTTTTCCAATATTCAAAAAAAAAATAAATCCTTAGTGTTTATTCCTGTACAGGTCTAAAATTAATTCATAATGTTTTTCATATTCATTCATGGGTTCATTCATAATGGTCTTGAAAATGTCTTAAAAGTCTTAAGTCTTTAACTTGGAAAAACCTGTAGAAACTTGTGATGACAGACCCAGCTTTGCCAATCAGATGAACACATCTGAATGAATTGATCAGAGATTACTGCGTGAGCTCAAGATCATTCATTGAACTGGCGATTAACTGGCGCCAAGACAACAACATTTATTGACATCATCAGATTCAATTATCAGTCTTGTAAGCAAAAAAAAAAAAACAATTTCAATGTATAAAAGTGTTTGTTAAATGAAACGCAATATTTGTTCACCCTTTAAAGTATATTGGTTTACAATTTTGTGTGCATTTAGTAGTGTATTCAGTCTTGCCTATAGGATGGATTTGCTATATGTGAAGGCATTCAAGTTTCTTAATCCCTGACTAGTTAATTTATAGTTGCTAATTTAAATTAATCAAAAATTTGATAAGTGGTCTGCATCTTCTGCATTACACCACATATTAGCTGTCAACATTCAGATTTACATGTGTGCATGACTAGATCAAATTTATATCATTATTTATTCACAGATAAATCTCTCAGTGAGAATACTGGCCATGTGTATTATCATAAACTTTCAGAAACTGAGGTAAATAAGCTAGGGTGATATTTTTTCAATGTATGTGTTTACCTAAAAGGTCCACATACAGACTTAAGTTCCTAAAAATAAAAGTGTACGGTCTGGAGCCATACCCCCCCCCTGCAGTTACACCTTTATTTCTGAGAAAGAGGTTTTATGTTCGTTGAAGAAATTAAGATACTTTAAAAAAAAAATATTATACATTTATTTTTATGTTCGCCAATTCAAAAAAATACTCTTGTAAGAGAATAGTAGCAGCTTACAGACATGTTGCTGACAACAACTCTTGGAAGAGTTTTGAAGAACAAAACTTTATCCTGAATCTTGTCAAATCCTTGACGAATTCAAGCTAACTGAGTAATCTACTGTACATATGAAAACTCAACCCTGTTCTATACTGTCAACCATAGTTTGCTTATAAAGTTCAAGTCAGAATTATTAGCCCCCTTTTAATTATTATTATTTTTTTTCCCATTTTTCCCAAATGATGTTTAACAGAGCACGGAAATTTTTACAGTATGTCTAATTATAATTTTTCTTCTATAGAAAGTCTTATTTATTTTATTTTGGCTAGAATAAAAGCAGTTTTTAATTTTTTGAACACAATTTTAAGGTCAAAATTACCTTAAATTGTCAAAATTACCTTATCAATACCCTAACCTGCCTAGTTAACCTAATAAACCTAGTTTAGCCTTTAAATGTTACTTTAAGCTGTATAGAAGTGTCTTGAAAGATATCTAGTCAAATATTATTTACTGTCATCATGGCAAACAAAATTAATCAGTTATTAGAAATGAGTTATTAAAACTATTATGTTTAGAAATGTGTTGAGAAAATCTTCTCTTCGTTAAACAGAAATTGTGTTGGGTTGGGGGGGGGGGGGACTATATAGAACTATATAGATTATATAGACTACATAGATATGTAGAACTATATAGATTCATTTGTATTTCCTGCTTCCCATATCCAAAGCTGGTTCTTCATGACCTTGGTCTCCCTCCAGTCTGAGAGTTAAAAGAAAGATCTTTATCTTGAAGCATTGTGTATTCAAGTAAATGTAAAATACAGAAGTTCAATGAAACAGAAGCAGCACAGTGTGAGAGACAAATTGTTGCAAATCCTGTTAGGCTTCATTCTTTGCTTTCCATAGGGTGTTTTGTTATGTTGCACTGCATTTGCTTAAATCATATTACTTGTTCCATTAGTAGTAGATTACATTGCTTTTACAATCCAATGATGTTTAAGCATAGTTGTTTAAACTTTGTTTATATAAAAAAAACATTTAGATAACACGTATAAAATGTGCAGTATTATCACATCTGTCTTTCAGTTCATATTTGTAATTTTGCAGAATGTTGGAAACCGGTAGCAACTGACTTTATAGTATTTATTTTCCTTCTATGGAAGTCAGTAACCACTGGTTTGCAGCATTCTTCAAAATATCTTCTTTTCTGTTGAACAGAAGAAAGAAACTCAAACAGGTTTGGAACCACTTGAGGGAGAGAAAAGGATGACCGAATTTTTGTTTCACTTTAAGACGGCATTGCATACGCTGGACTCACAGTAAAGGACTGCAGGTTCACTAGAACAGGGATGTCAAACTCAATTCCTGGAGGGCCGAGCCCTGCACAGTTTAGTTCCAACCCTGCTCCAACACACTTACCTGTAGGTTTCAAACAAGCATGAAGGACTCAATTAGTTTGATCAGGTGTTTTTAATTAGGGTTGAAACTAAACTGTGCAGAGCTGCAGCCCTTTTGGAACTGAGTTTGACACCTGTGCACTAGAAGAATTTGCTGCTGTGACCTTCATTTCTGTTTATGAAAGTTTGAAAAATGTCATGTTTTGCTGCTAAATTCATGTATTTTGCTTTATTTACTTAAAAGTGATATCGATATTGTGACATCTATTAAGTACAGTTAATAGTTCACCTACATTTACCCACCATTTACACACCCTCATGTAGCTCCTAACCCCTATGACTGTTTTATTGGATGAACACAAAATAATATATGAATGTTGGAAACTGGGATTAACTGTAATCCATATCAAAAATACCTCAGTGGCTACCAGCTTCCAACATGCTTCAAAATATCTTCTTTTGTGTTCGACAATAGGTAAAAAATTATCTGACATAAATTAACCCACAATATTGATTAAATGACAAAAGTGCAATTCAAATAAGTTTTATGCATGCAATGAAGTACCCCAAAGTTAGGCTATATGTAAAATTAAGTTACTAGAACTTCCATGGTCTGACTCAGTTAATTCTCTCCCTGCTGTGTTTATGACTAACTGTTTTTTCTAATGCTGTGTTTTCTCCAACCTAGATTATGTAAACAAATACCAGTGGATAAATTGTGATTTTGTGAGACCACACAGACTAAAAATGCATTAGAACAGACCTTACAAAAAAATGCCCTTTAACATTTTAACAAACTACTGTGGACATTGTTCCTAAATCTGTTAATGTATTTAAAGCTTTAGAGCCAAAACTGACTTAAATTATGCAGAATTCTACTACAGTAGGACAAAACATAAAATAAAAATCAATGTTAAATAGAAAGTTTTGTCTTTTCAAAATAAAATAGTTCAACTGACTATATAAACATCAGAAATAAAAACTTCCCCCTCGGGCCCAAAAAACGTGACCTATTGACGCAACAATACATCTCAAAAAGGGAAATAAGGGAGTTAGACGCTATTATTCTTAAAGACAAAAAAGAGAAGCTGCTATTATTTTTGGTGCCATCTAACTAACACTTAGTTGTGTAAGAAGTTCCATGATCATAGTCTGCATAAATGGAGACTTGTTGCTTTCAGTAAACTGATAATTTGGGTCAGAAAAAAAGTACTCAGTAGCAGTAAATGAATGCTTTTCTATCTTCAGCTTATCCTGTTTAGGAAAAATTTCAAAAGTCAAGTACAAGCAATAAAACATTTAGCAATATTGTTGTAATAATTATAGATTTTTTAGTTTAAAAACACTCATAAATGCAAACATCTGGGCTGTTTGTTTAGTGTAATTAGTAGAACGTTTTGTTGTAAAGTGTGACCAATTATTAATTTTGGTGATTAATAAAACGATCTGTGTTGATTTGAATTTGTGTGGTGTATTTACAAAATATCTGAAATTAGTGTTGGTCTGCTTCATCCACTCGTAAGCTCAAGAATTAGCATTTCTTTGTGTATAAGTCTATTCTGGGTTTACTCCCCTCATATCTCCAAATTTGTAAAAAGAAAAAAAAAACTCTCTGTAGCCTTCGGTCTCAGGAAGTTTATTTATTGTCTGTATCAGTGGTGTGTACTAAAATGGGAAAAAAGGCTTTTAAATATGCAGCACCTTTTCCATGGAATAACCTCCAAACAAAGTTTCAGTTTAAAGAGTTGGTTTTACTTCATGCTTTTAAGAAGATTTAAATGATTTGCAGTTTCAAACATCGGCCTGTAGATGTTCTGAATAGTTTTAACTGTCATTGTCTATTTTGGATGAATGTTGTCTGATTTTTGTTTCTATGTTCAACCCGTGTGAACTGTATACTGCCTAAGCTTGGCCAGGACACTCTTGTAAAAGAGATTGTTAATCTGAATGTGCTTTTGCTGGTAAAATAAAGGTTATGATGATGATAATAATAATAATAATAATAATAATAAAATGTTCAAAATATGTTATCAAATACAGAAAATCTCTCTCTTTTTAAAATGACATTTATTTTATGTGTTTAGGGGTAAGAGTAGACAGAAAAACCTCTGAAGACCAAACTCATGGTAATATTTACTTTTTCATTTTGAAACTGTCTCTGTCCAACCCAACAGGAAATGCCACATCATATTTACATAATGTGGTTAATATGCTTTGGTCGGGTGATGCTATGGTTGTTTTTCACTGGACAAAACCTTTTGTAATTCTACAGGTGAAAATAAAAGCACAACAGTGCAAAGCTAAAAAGTACTAGGCACTTTTATTTTCACACAAGCGATTTCATTCATTCAGAACAATTGTGATGATTTATCAACTCATTTTGATAGAAACTCAAGTTGATGACCTTCTGTCTCTGGGTTATATCTAGTTTCATTGGAATTGTTAATCTCATTTTATATCCTGAGCTGGGTTTTCTTGTGCGCCCCATGACATGAGGCCTAACTACATTGCCTCAGAT